TGGGAATCTGGGTATGTTGGAGTTTTGCTTGTGTTTGCCACTGTGGAATCTGCTTTTCATGCTCCATGGCCTTTGACCAGCCACTCCTCTCAGTATGGCTTTCAGCATGGGTAGTCCAGTCTTCTAAATATGGAATATTTGCTTCTTTCAGGAAGAGGATCAGGATTGAGAAAGGTGATTTGGTCCATTCTTTTCCCACCGAGTTTCTTGACAGTCACCAACCAATATCTCTTTATATTCCTGTAGGAGAAAAATGACAACTGTTGTGGAGAAAAGACTGAAGCAAGTTGCATGTGTTTGTGAACCTTTGAAATTTATTTGGTAAGCAAAGGAATTCTAGAGAGAGAACGTGACTTCCAGCTGTGGAAAAGGAGAAGATTTTTATAGGAAGCAATAGAAATTAGGAGGTACAATGTGTTTCAGTTCTGCACTTTTTGCTACCAGGGTGCTTGCAGGATGCTGCCCACCAATCCCATTGAAACACCACTGCTGTTCAGTCAAACCACCCAGAGCTCCCTGTGGCTCCTGGGCTTTTCCCTTGAAGTCAAAGAGGGTAATTGGTGCCTGCTGGTGGCAAGATTTGTGTTACTCAGCTGGGCAGCCTAGAGGCAGCTGCTGCAGTAAATCTTGCAGCTCTTGTGTCAGCTGACCCCCAGCCCTGCAAAGGGGGATTGTTTCTGGGAGTGCCGCTGGTTTTCTGCCCTGTTTGTTTGCAGGAGTGCCCAGGTACTATGAGGACTCCCCTTGAGCTGGAAAGGAAGGAAGCCATTCTTTGAGTTAAAAGGTTTCAATTAAATTAAGTCAATGGAGAATCAAATTTCAGTCTTTCATCGCTTGTAATAGAAAAATCCATGTGCATTGATAGTTCTCCCCAGTCAAGTATCCCTTGTTTTTAGGGCTGCCTGTCAGACTGAGATGAGTACCACTGATTTGAAAATGAAAAACCTTTAGTTTTTTCATAAAGGGCAGGTCAGATGTGTGTGGTGTATCCCCACCTTTTGCAGTAGATCACATGTAAAGCTAAGTAAAGCCCCATTTAAATGACAAAAGAGTTCTTGGGCTACATATTAGCTCTTTCCCATAGTAGCTGAATAAAAGAAAAAAAATCCTAATAAATAATTAGGGTGGTAATATGTTTGACCATTATTTTTTTAGTACGACTTTTTTCTGTTACTATTATAACAGAAATGATCCTTTCAAAGACAACTAAAGTGCTAATGATAGCTAAGAAGGTCATTCCTAGGAGGTTAAACTGGTTTAATTAGAATTTATGAGAAGGTTACTGTAGGAGTGCAGAAAGATGTTAAGGGGTTAACCTATAAGAGATTACATTGTAGTCAGTGTTCTGTTAAAGTTTGAATTAATTTTTCCCATGGGTTTTTCACATTCTAATTTTCAACTAAATGAGACATCTGTTTCAGAAAAGGAAAATTTGCTATGGTTGTCATAGCAACTATCATTCTGTAAGAAAATTATTCCAATGGTTACTTTAGAACAGAAAGATAGAAATTCAGTACATAAAGCAACATCCGATTTCTAGCACAAACTCTGATAATTCAGCCCTTTTTGTGTGGCAGATTATTTGGCCTGCAAAACTTGTTCGAATGTTTTAAACATAAGGTTAATTGTGCTGTAAACAAATTCACCTCTGATATATTTTCCCCCTTGAATCTCACATGTAGACAATCATTATTCTTATCAAAATAACAAACCGGTTGAATTTCAGTAGAGTGTTGGAAACACTCAAGCTGTTCTCTTGAAAAAGGTAGGACCTAAATCAAAGTACATTTCTACAGATGAGTGCTTCACTTCAAAGGTGAAATACATTAATGATGTATGTCTTTAATTGCCAAATAAATTTTTCTTGGGTTGGTTTCTTTTTTTCTGATGATAGTGAATTTTTCTCTTGTAGAACATACCTGGCAATATTTTCTTCGTCAAATGTAAGATTATTGAAAAATACATTATAAAAATAATTACACTTTTCCTGAGTAACCTCTAACTGGGAATACAGAAATTCCATGTACTCTACATAAAGAATTTAACTTTGCTTTCAGGTTCTATCATAAATGCAAATTTTAGACAAAGTTGTCTTTGCATGATAGTCGGGTCATGGGCTCATTAGTGGGTATTAGAGAAGAAGGCTTTTTTTCCTACTCAGAAACTTTTATAGCCGTTTTGTAATAAATTTTCAGAAGAAGGGGCTTGGGGATTTATAAAATCCCTATATGCTTATAAAGATGGTATTTGCTTTGGGGGTGGGGGCACTGAAGTGTGTGATTTGTCTTTCTTCTCTCCAATGTAAAGCATGCCAGCATCCTCCACTGAATCCTTTCTTGGACCTGGGGTTTTTTTTCTTTTTTTTTTTTTTTGCCAGAAATATTCCAGACATTTCCTTCCATCTCAGGATTGTCACAAAAGACAGCATAATGGCAAATCACACAAGTTGTAACATCTCCCCTTCACAAAAGAACAGCTCCAGCATGCATAACTTACCAGCCCCGCTGCAGTCACCACAAAGGGAGCGAGGGAGGGAGGAGGGAGGGACGGGGGAAAGTGCTTCTTGTCTTAATAAGCAGATCATGCCTATTCATAAGGGGAAATGGGCTTTTTTAGAAAGTGGCCGTGTGTAGTCCAGCCCTGGTAGCGGCAGGCAGAGGCTCTCACAGCTGCCTATGTGGTTTGTGGTCGTCTGGATTTCAGCAGAATTAAGCTGACTTCTGGTGAGACCTGTGGCAGTCATGAATATTTCTCTTTAAAAATGCTTCATTGTAGTCTTAAAAGAATTATTTTGTGAGTTTTTGACCTTTGCTTCTTGGGCAAGTACTGGTCTTTCCCCTTGGTTTCCTTTCGCCATCTGGCATACCTATGGACAGTGCCTCCCCTCGCTTCCCATCAGGGACCCAGGGACAATCCTGTCTCTGCCCACTTCTGGCATATCCATTGAAACTGTCAGTGACTTAAAACACATGATTTACTGTGCTGACACTTCTTTTGCCACCTATTTGCCCTTGCAAATATTTTGTTAGTGAGATGTTGCTGCTAGAGAACTTACCTTGGGCCTACAATTTGCCCAACAGTTGAGTATTTTCTTCTCAGTGAAGAAAAATACTTGTCCTGTTAGGTGTGGAATGCAATCCCAAGGCAGGAAAGTATGAAGAGTTTAGAAAAAGCCAACCACTGTGTATTTTTACGAAGCCTTCCACTTCTGTAATATCCAAGCACCTCACAAACTTCAGGTTTTTTGTTTTCAAGGCATTCCTGTGTGGTAAAAATAATTTCCTTATCTCAGTGGTGAGCTGAATGTAAGAAGGGGCAGATCCAGCTCCACAGAGCTTGTGTGGTTGCTGTGTGGCAATGTCACATGGTAACATTGCTGGTACCTTGCTGCACAATAAGCCAGTTAGGAGAATCCCATAATTGTTTAGGAAAAGACCTCTGAGGTAATCGAGTCCAGCCATAAACCTGATGCCACTAAACCATGTCCCCAAGTGCCACATCTGCACATCTTTTAAATGCTTCCAGGCATGGTGACTTAGTCACTTGACCTATCAGGGAAGAATTTTCCCCCATATCTAATCTAAACCTCCCCTGGTGCAACTTTAAGCCATTTCCTCTTGTCCTATTTATTGTTACCTGAGAGAAGAGACCAAACTCCCTCCTTTCTAAAACCTCCTTTCAGGTAACTTTGGAGAGATAAGGTCTCCCCCGAGTCTCTCTCTAGACCCTGGCAGCAGGAAGGTGAGGAAAGGCTGTTTGGAATGCTGAACAGGGAACCAGAAAAGTGTGACTTTGTGGCCTGATGTAGGGATGTGCCTTAGCCAGCTGCCTTGGCCTGAGCAATGTTACTCAGAATAAGATTTGTGTTTCACTGCTAGTGCTGTTGGCATTTCTCCTTCACACACCTTCTTCACCTCCCTCATCACAGCTTCTGGAGGCTGGGACATATATTTCTGGTCCCAATAGCAGATGTTCGAAGATTCACCTTTTTTTTTTTTCCCCTGGGACACCTGTTTCTCAAAACCCTGGTTATCCAGGGCATGTGATGAAGAGGCAGGGGATGAGAAAGAAAGCCTTTCAGTTATCAGCAGTTGAGCCTCTTTTTGTCTGTGGAAGAAAAATCTTTTGTTCATTGTTCTTCAAATATGAGTATGGCCACAGGACATCAGTCAAGGAATTATTAAAACTTCCTACCTAAAACCAACCCCTCAATTTTATGACCTAGAATTAGAGCCTAGTCAGCAAGACATAATTTAACACTGTGATATAATTGCTGTGAAAGATAGTTTTTTAATCAATGGGATAGCAAGATACAGATAAATTATATTCTGACTGGCAGTGTTACAGTCCTGCTGCTCCATGATGAGCTGCTCCATGAGTATGTTTGAAAAAATGTAAATGCCTGTCTGATAAGGAATCCTGAATATGGAAAGTCTTACTTACAAGTAAGTCAACACACCAGAGGACAGAAGAAATTTGTGTGTAAGAGAAGCAGCAGCATTCTTGTTCTGATGGGATGTATCCAATTAGGGAAGCAAAGCAGCAGAGATGATGTCTCTGACTTTGGAGCAGGATCTGTCATGGTGCCAGGGTCTGTCCTTGCCCAGCTGGTCATAGGCTAAGGGCCAAACGTGCTGGGAGCCAATGCGAAACATAAATCACGTGAAGGTGTCTGAGACAGCTGTTCTTCTAAATGTTGTGAGAGTCAGCGTGATAATCCACACATGGAGATCTTGGTATCCAGGCCTTGTAAGTAGTTGGAGCAATACTGTGAATATTTTACTGTGCTGCCTACTGAAAGCGGGGAGGACTGCTCGTATTTGCCATACAAGTTAAACTACACTGCTAGTATGGAAAGAGGGGCTTACTGTGCACACAAAGAAAATTAATGCTATTTGTGTCTTCAAATTCCATGGTAGCAAAGAGTCAACCTCAGTATTTTAATTAGATAACCAGTACATGGAAGTAGCACTGAAGACATTCTCCTCCTCTCTTGGCAGGCAACCTTGGTTTTATGGCTGGGGCTTTAATCTTCCACGAGGCCAAGCACTATTAGAGAAATGGAACCTTATTCCAGATGGAATAGATATTCTTATAACACATGGACCACCTCTCGGTAAGAAAATAATAGTGCTCTTAGCTGTGTATTTCAGATGATTATATGGTAACTGATGGCTCTCCTTAGAAAAAGAGTGCAATCCTCACTTACAAAAGTCAAAAGCAACATGCATACTGATTTCAGCAGCACCAGGACTTCAGCTCATGATTACCTATGATACCTCTGCTCAATGGCAGGGAATTAAATAATGGCTTTAAAAATAAAATATTAACACATAAAGTCATAATGAGCTTTACAAAATAAGCAGGGTCTAGTTTTCCTATGCACATCTCTAATCTGCCACTGGTGAAATTACTAGATTGAAGGCATGGAGCCTGTTTGAAGAGAAATGAAGGATTAGGATTTTATTTTTTATCACTTTCTTCCTGACTTGCTACTGCATTCTCCCACCAACAAGTACCCAGAATCTCTTTTTTCCCTCATTATGCTGAGTTGGTGCACCTTCTGCCTCACAGACCCAGATGCTCCCCATTGTTTGCCTGTTCTTTGGACAGGATGGTTGAATTGCTTATCTGAAATACAATTTGGCAACATGAAGAGATCAAAAAGAAATAGTTTTGCATGTACATTTTCCAATTATTTTAATATAGATGATATAAAAGCTGTCTATCTATGAGAGATTTCTCATATTCCTAGAAAATTTGGACATTACCTTTGCTACAGAAAAAATACAATCACATAAACTTGTCCAGATTCAGTAAAGGCTTAAGGCTTTTAAGCTTTTTTTCAATGTATTTAACATACAGCAGTCTATATTTAATGCGACTGTGTGTTTGACTCTCACTAATTTAATAAGTGGACATGAACAAGAAGCTTGTACTCAAGTGTTCTGCTGAGCCTTACTGTGCTTTGTGTGAAATGGAGGCAGTTGATTTCTTTAAACCTTTAGATTCCCCAATTTCCTGAAGCTAAAACCCTCATCTTCCACCCTTTCTTCTCTTTCAGAGCTTGGAGGAGAAAGTATCTAGAGGGTTTGTGTTTTGTTTTCTTTAGAAAGACATGTTTGCATTCCACTGCTCACTAATCCTGGGAGAAAGTAGCTCTTTGTGAGCAGTTTCTCACAGTTAGGGGTGTGTGTTTTGATTCTTCACCTAAGTGGAGTCTCATGCCATGCCACAGACTGATTTTAATATGAGCCTGTATTGTAAAAGTGGATGTCAGAAATTGTTTCAGCCCTGAGATATCAGCTCCAAGCCACTGGTATGGGGGTAATCCCTCCTAGGTTCCAAGGCACAATGCTGTGCCTTTCATGTAGTTTTATTTATAAGTCATATTTAAAACTTTTCAGAAGCTTTTTCAGCACTTTGAAAACCCCTTTTAAAGCCAGCTGGCCAGCTGTAGAACAATTCAAACTTCAGCTGACTGGAGATTCACTTGAAATCTAATGTTGGAAATTGGAGATTCAACCAGCTTGCTGCTTTAGCCACCAGGCCTCTCCAGTAGCCTCAGGCATCAGCAGAGGGAGGAGGACCCCTAAAGAGCACTGCAGAGCTGGCACTCAACAGGCAGACTTTAATAATAAATTTAATAGTAAATTTAATAATTGAAAAGTAATTAATAATTGCAGTAATTGTGAGGAAAGGCCACCCATCTCCAGTGATTGTAATGGAGTAATGTGAATTCCCCCCATCTCCATGGCTCAGTTAATGGGGTTTTTTCCCTTTTAATTCTTTATCTTCAATCATCCCCCAAGAATTTCCTTTATTTTTTAGAAGTTCCTGTTTCTTTGTCTCTCTCTCATTGATGCATTAATAGATGGCTCAAGCACAGAACCCTCTGCCTGAGGGCAGGAGCTGTTGGTCTCCCTGACACCCATGGCAACAAATATATGACACTTCAAAGAACTGAGCACTCTGCTTAACTTACAGACCCACCTCATTGTGCAGCTCTGTCCACAGACCCTTTGGGAGACAGGATCCCCCTTGAACCTCCCAGCCAATTATTCTAACCAGAAAGCTGATTCCTGTTGTTCTCATCTTGGAACTCAGAACCTCACTAGTGTTGTTCCTAATGACCATAAATAGCAATCAGTCCTCTTGCAAATTCTGGGCTTTTTTCTCCAGTATGGCTGCCTAAATTCTGCCCATCATCCATTTTCTGTGCTGCTCTCTGATTCCCTCACTTCAAGAGTGTGCATCCTCCTGAACTAATTAATAATACATTATTACATAGATTTGAAATGGTCAGATATAGATGCAGAAGAACCATTAAGAGTTAATGAACTTTGATTTTCATTTGGCCATGTAACAAAAATCCAAGTAATTTTTCTCTTCTGTTTTAGAGTAGTGCTTTGGGATTAAGCACTACTTCATCCCAAAGCACTACTCTAAAACAGAATAGATGGGAGGTTCACAGAGGATGGGAATAAAAGGTTATAACAGCTATTTTGGACCATTTTATCAGTAACCTGTTTATTATTATTAACAAAGATATGCAATGTATTTCGTAGCTTATGAAATATAGAATTTTTGATTATGGGGTCAGTGTTAGTGCTCATTTCCATATCTGCATATTTTTGTTTCCTAAAGATCTCCATTTATGATTCTTTTATTTCTCTTCCAAAAGTTCACTTTATTTTCTTTGGTTTTAATTTAATTTCACCTTTAAGTCTTCATTTGCAGCTGTCTGCTTGATAGTCTGTGACAAAGATTTATACTTTCCTGACAGCTGCAGAAACCTGTTTCAAGTAACCAAACATTAAAAAACCCCTAAGATGAACTCTAATTGTTAGCTAGGTGTAATCAATTATTCTTAGTCTGTGTAGTCAGGTGTACATAATAAGCTGCAAACATATGGGAAGGCTTCAGAAGGGTGATAATGCATGTAAACAAAAACATGTTCAACATAAATAATGCTTAATTTAATGGAGAAGTTAATTTTATGGATTTTTGTTTGTGAAGTTTTTGAAGTGGAAATACTTTCGGCTTTATGTTCACCGCAGACATTTTGACAATTAACTGTTTCAAATCACTGGAGTAATAAAACCTATGGCTATAATATGTTTACTCTGAAAAAAACCCCAAACATGACTTTATTCCAGAGGAATTGCTGACCTCACTTTAACATTATAAGTGCTGTTTTTCTCTGGTGAATTTTGACCTCCCTTTGATGGCACATGTGAATTCAGGAAGAGTGAGCATTGCTCAGCCTGGCTGTAGTTCAGCAGGGCTTTCTTTTTCTACATTCCCTGACAGGGGTCAAACAGCACCTTCAGGTGTTTGACCATGATGAGAACTTCCTCTTTTTGGCACTTAGGATGCCCCACTCCCAGATTTGTTTTTCTTTTTTCTGAAAATTGAACTTAGCTCTCTGAGTAGCTATGAAACAAGTGCAAACTTTTGCCATTTTGGTAAAACCTCACAGTTTACTGAGCCCAGTTTTCAAGCACTGGCAGCTAAAGAGGTATTTCTCAATGTGTGAACCTACCCTGAAGCTCTAGCAAATCTGAGAGCTTTTCCAAGAGCTTGAATACCACACTTTTGGTCTTTTAAACCAGTTGGTTGGCTGCTTAGCCATGCTTGAGTGGACATCAAAAGTAAATGTATGAAAACCAGGTCCAGGCTCTGTACCTCTGGCTAAAAGCACAATATATTCACACTACTGCAGAAAATCCAAGAGATGCAAACCTATGACAGGCACACAGGGAAAATGTTAGAACAACAAAATAAAACCAGGAAGATTTTATCTTCTAGATTTCCAAATCTGAGCCTGATGAAAATGACTGAACAATAGAGAGAACACAGATTGATTGTTGCAAACACTCCAATACAACATCCTCCTTATACTACTACTTGGAAAGAAACATGGACTTCAGTTGGCAGTAAACTTCCCCCTGCAGTATTTTTAGACAAAGAGGCAAGTTGATGTAACATTTCTGTCTATTTTCATAAGAAATACATTTTTACACAATTTTTGTGCAAGTAAATGCAGCACTTAAATACATCTTCTGCAAAAGGCCTGAGTTTCTCTTCCTGAGATTCGTCAGTTTAGGGAAGTGGGGCTTGCTGTGCCATGAAGTGGTTTAACTCAAGGATGTCACTTTTGGGCATGTAGTGGATTCCTCACCTGAGCTCCCCTGCTGTAGGATTAAATGTAATAACAGTAGAGTTGTAGTATTGGCAGCCCAGATTCGATTACATTGGTTCAAGTGTTCAATCCAAAAAAGTAGGTCCCAGGACTGGTTTTAAATAGTTAAATGTTCTTTTAAATTCTTTAGAGGCTCACTTTGGATTTACTGCACTTTACACCTCATTCTCTTCAGGAAGAAAAAGGGGTAAAGCATTGAGTTATCCCATGAACAACAGTGCAAAAAATGCTTTGATTGCAGTGATTATTTTTATTCTTTAAAAAAAAACCCTGGAAAGTGTTATCATAGTCCTTTTTATCCAGATGAGCTTTTATGGTTTTCTACCAGTATTTTTCTTTCCTTCCTCTTCTGCATACCAAGGCAAACACAGTTTTTGCCATTTCAATTCTCCTGTGGCTGTTTGTAAAAAGCCATGAGACATGAAATCTCAAAAATTCTGTATAACAGCACAGCTTTGTGGATCACCTGTCTTCTCTTAAAGCTTTCCTTTCTTTTCCAAAGGTTTTCTAGACTGGGTTCCTAAGAAAATGCAACGAGTAGGATGTGTTGAACTGCTAAACACAGTCCAGAGACGAATACAGCCAAGGCTTCATGTTTTTGGACATATCCATGAAGGTCAGAGCACATTTCTTTTTATATATGTGTTTTTAGAAATGGCAAACAGAGAAATCTTAACCAGCATTTTCAAACTTGAATGTCTGAACTGAAGCACTTGAATTCAGATACATATTTAGCTGTATATATAGAGGTGAAATTGGCTGATATCCGTATTTCAATACTTGTACTTGAGCTTATCTTTCATTTTCTACATCTATAAAACATGTTGATGCTTCCTTCACAGGGATGAGTACTGTGAATTTTAAAATAAGAATACAAGTCCAGTAGTTACAGAAAGTGACTAAATATTAGGATGGAGGGATTTTTTTTCCTTAGCAGAATCTGTGCTTCACAATAATTAATGTAAGATCTCTGTGTGTTAACTTCTGTGCTTGTAAAAGGGGTAGGAATATTTTGAGTGTTGCTTCTAAAGCTTGATCTTCAAGATTGTGCAATAACTTGTCTCTCCCCATCCGAGTGTATATGAAGTTGAAATCAAGAGGGGTATCACCACTGACTGGTGTAGAAGTTCCAAGATATTTATGGATGCATTTAGTTGCTGTGTCAGGGGAAACATTTTGTGCTTAGACAAAACAAGTGGTTCTATTGATGATTTGATATTTAACTAGAGGAAAAAAAAAATAAAAAAGAGTTCCCTTTGCACAAGCCAAGTAAATGGTGTCAGATATGCTCTGCTGAAGTCAGTGACAGCAGGAGCTCATCTCCAGGCAAAAGGAAAGGTAGATGCTGCCTGTCCTGTTCACAGAGCAAGGCAGAAGGCTTCAAGCAGTGCTGCCACCCCAAGCAGAAGCAGTGGGCTGTGCAGGAGTGAGCCATTGGCATGTACATGTGTATTATCAACTGCTCCATCTTTGGCAGAGTTAACTTACTGGCAGGAAAAGGTACTCCACAGCTGCCAGTTTTCTGCTTCTGGGACTGCTCCAGCCTTTGCTGTAAGATCTCTGTGGGTCTCAGCAGGGCAGAGATGGAAAAACTGGAGGAGCTGGCATTCAGATACTTCTGGTTTTGTGAAGAACCCTTCCTAAGATATCCCTCTCTGACTTGCTGCTGGAGGCTTTCACCACAGCACATAGAAGTGACATGGCTGGTGGTGTAAAATTAATGGATAAGATGTTCAGATCATTATTTTATAGCTCAAGGATTAGGTCCATTGTCCTCCTGTGTCTCATCTGCAGTGATCTGTTAATGCCTGGTTAATGTCCAAAGTGCTGTTAAATCACAGAGTAAACAAATAATGCTGCTAGAGCAGTCTTTGATATTCCAACCAAGAGAGCTGGTGAGTACAGTTCAGACTCATTGTCATTTCAGAAATTATAAGCCAAGAGGGTTGCAGGGGATATAAGCAAACAGCAAGCCATGAAGCTTCAGGCAGGTAAACAAAATCACATCTGCTATAACCAAGTCCAGCTTTGGCTCTCAAGGGAAGAGAATGGCACCTCCATAGAATAGTAAATCCTGTAGTTGGCACAGTAGGTATCAAAACACAGAAACAAGGTACTCTTCTTGTTAACTATCATAATTTAGAGAAAACAAATGGGGAACTGCAGAGCCTGTTTGTCAGTGGGATGCTAAATCTCTGCAGAGGAGAATTCCCATTGCAGGCAGCCTGTGCAAACGAAGCTGCACTTTGTAGAGAGAATGCATGATTTGAACAGATGAGTTCTTTCTCGGAGTGAGCATGGCTACATCTGCAGCAGTCATTTACTGAACATCTGGGGAGAAGAGGTGCTTATAAGAGATGTTTCTTCCCTATTCCCTCTCTGCACTACCATGTCTGCCAAAAACTACCTCTGCACATGGGCTTGCCGCTGATGCACCCATGGAAGGGACAAGCAGCATGGCAGAGGCTCTGGCTAAAATTCTGCTTTTCCCAGTATAGCCAGTATTCCACTGAGGTCATGACCGAGGAAACCCTGCTGGCAGTGGGACAGGAGTGAAAGCTGCAGCATTAGGAATCTTCCAGCAAAAGAAAGTGTCTGGTCTCTTCAAATATGTAGCCAAGGAGACAGAAAGTCCCAGCCACGGTGCTGACTCTCCTCCGTGCATTTTGTGTTTTCGTCAGAACAGTCATTCCATGGCAAACAGAAAGGGATTTAAAGAAATTCCTGTGACAGGAGCCTGACAGAGTTTTCTTCCCTCCCTAGGCCCTAATTATAGTCTAGTTTTTCCATGGAAGGTGCAGGAGGCTCTGCATTATTCAGGGTGTTTCAAGGAACCAAAAAGAAAGGAATTTGGCTACTGTTTCTTTGTTTGTAAATTATGCAGTTTTCAGTGCTGTGAAAGACACAAAATTGCATTCAGAGAAAACATGGGGTCCTCAGTACCTAGGGTTTGAATAGCTAGAGCTTAGTGTGTATATAGCAATGAATGCATTTCACTGTTAACTTTATGAAAGGTGAGATTGAATCTTAGTGCAAATGCTTTCCACCAGGTGATTTCCCCAAAATCACGTATTTCTGATGTCAAATGCAGTTCTTCATATTGATCATAATATTTCAGTGAAAGTTTCCAACATTAGGCCTTTGGCTTTCATATAATCAAGCTTATGTTTTTTTTTAGAGATTCATTAAAAGATTTTTGACAATGGAGAGTGTGTTCTTTTTCATAACACCAAGGTTGTCAAAGGGCTTCTTCACTTTCTGAAATAGCATTTCACTGTACTTCTACAGGAATTAGAGCTGAAAGTTTGGTTTTCTGCAGATTTAACTCTGGAATTGTTTGCCTTGGGTGTCTAGCCAAACATGAGATGTAGCTGAAGCTTTTTCACCACTGGTGAGACACAGAGATGTGTGTGTTCTCCTGTGGAAATGTTCTGGTGTTTTAGTGTGTGAATTCACCTTGTCTGTTAGACAATGCACTCAATAATAAAGCCATCTTTTCTCAGCCTGGGCAGGCATTTTAGTGCCTTTCCATCAAGTTTGGTCAACAAGTTCAAAGACATAGCAAGAAGAGGTTCCTACTAGGCAAATCCTGCCCTGATGCACATGCACACATACTTGTTTCAGTCAAGCAATGTTTTCTTTTTCATTGGTTGCTTAAAGGATGTTCAACACAGGGCAGGAAAAAAAGGTGGGAAGATTAAAATTGCCCAAAGTTTGCTGCACTGATTACTGCAACCCTAAACTATCAGAAGCATGCTTTCCAAAACTAAAACGGTTTTAAGAGAAAAATCTCTGCAGAGAGAAGTATCTGTCTTTCTAAGGAGGCTTAGTGCGCTGGCTGCCAGAGATAATAGCCACCAGCTACTGAAGGCCCATTTTGCTTTTCTTGCACAATTTAAAAAGTTATTCTGTAGGAAAAAGATGGTATTGATTCAGGGAACATTTATGTTTTGCACAAAGATAATTTTTAAATTCCTTCTGAGTAATAAAAAATGTGGCACTTATCATTGTGTGATAAAGGTAATTAAAAATGAAAGAAGATAATAAGGAATAATGATAGTAACCAGAATTTTTCTTCCTTTTTAGGTTATGGTGTCATGGCTGATGGAACCACCACCTATGTGAATGCATCTGTGTGCACTGTGAATTACCAGCCACTTAATCCACCTATAGTTATTGACTTACCTACTCCAAGGAACACATGATTATAATCAGGATTTAAAGTTGTACCCAACACATAAGCAACTTTATATTGCTGGCTGAGAATCCCAATAGGGAACCATTCAACAAAAAAGCAAAATCCTTTTTTTCCCTGCTAGCTCTTCACAGATAAATTTGGAGTAACAAAAGTGGACAAGGAACAAAGACATTTTGGTGCCAGAACCAGATTAAAGACTAACATTTCACCATTAAAATGTTTGTGAACACAGAAAAGTGAATGCATTCCACATATATGTATATACATATATATATATCTATATATATATATATATCTCTAGTAGGGGCTTTTGTACATACCGTATACTGGACTTTATTAAAAGAACGATGTCTTTCAAAGGAGTGTTTCTTTAAGAAAGTTTGCAGTTTAAACGTAAATGTTTAGACTAGGATTTCCTCATTTCAGATGTTTTTCAGTGAGCTCTTGGTAAAATAAAAATGATGGTAAAGATGTTTTCCCTTAATCAACATGGCAATTATAAAAGATGATGCACAAATGACCAGTCACAGGAGGAAAGCTATTTCTCCAAGTCCTCCAGGTCTAAGTCTTTGCATCTATTCAAAACCAATGCAATACAGGCCCTAATTCACTGTACTGAAATGAAGTTTTACTACATCTGGCATTACAGATGGCAAGGGAAATGGTGCATATTGCCAGCATGCTGTAAACAGCTCAACATTCAAGAAGGGAGACTGTGTTAAGTGCAGTATAAACTCAGGAATTTGTAACCTGGCCTCGGTTGTTTAAAAAAGAAAAAAAAAGGATGACATTTCCCTTAAAAAAAAGAAAAAATATAACTGTGTTTTCATATAGTAAAGAGATATGTAATTGTATTTAAGGAAAAAAGAAAGAGAAAGGACCTGCAAAGAGCCCACCCAATGATTAGTAATGGTATTTTAAATAAAACCTACTGGGACCATTGGTTTACAAACTGCTAATGGGACATGTAGCCAATGATGAGATTACTGGTTTGAATTTGGCCCTGGTCAGGAGTGGTTAAATGTCATTGTGATCATTTTGTCCTTGGGAAACATGGATGTCAAGGGAAGGTATCAACCCAAGGTGTGGTTCAAGCACTCCCTTTTGGGTGGCTGTGAGTGACAGGTAAACACCAAAGTGTGCAGAGCAGAGGTCACCTCAGGGGACCTGGTATTGCTGTTTGCCCACACGTGGACACTGCTGAGAGAGGCTCAGCACAAACCCAGTAGAAACCCATCTGTTGTGTTGCTTGTGGCACCAGACAAAGCAGGGAATGTGGCAGGAGCTGGTTGGGATGGTCCACAGTCATGGTACTGCCCGTGCAGCTCTTCTGCAGTGCTAGCAGAGGTATTGAAGCTGCTGGGATTTCAGTCCTGTCCTAGGCAGAAGTTTAAGAATTGATTAGAACGCTACCAAAAAACCCCAGGGCTTCAGATATGTCCTGCAAGAAATGGATTTCTGTCTTGAACTAACAAACATGTCCTTTTGACTCAATGGAGATAATTTAACTGCTGTATTCTGAATGTGGGCATCCTGAATTTGGGGCTGACAGCATCTAGGCATTAATCTTGTTCACACACATTGGGCACACCACAGCACTGCCAGCTTAGAGCTGGTTGCAGATCTGTGTATAGCCCACACCTGCAAACATTGGAGAATTGTGTGTGTTACATGGATGTAAATGTGTTTTATGTAACAGCTGCATGTACATTATACAAATAAACAATTTAAAATATCTGTGTTGCAAAACCAGGCCATGTGAGCCTCGACTCTCAGCTAGGTGGGCACAAACTCTGCTTTTCACTGGCTTCCCATGTGCAGCAGGTCTTCGAGGTGCTGCCTGGAGCTGAGACGTTCAGGCCCGGTAACTGACTCATGCTGTGGACCCACAAGAAGCCACTAGACCCCTCAAAAACATAAGTCACAGGTCTGTCATTTTTGTAATCTGTTGGGTGACCATGTGTCTAAACTAATGTGCTGCTTTTTTTTCCTGAAAATGAAACCCAAAACAATAGGTGACACCTGCAACTGGTTTTTGGGGGAGTGGTTCACAAGTGCATGAGCAGTCTGCCATTAAGTCAGATGGGGCCACTTCTGTCAGAGCTACTTGTGCAGAAATTTCAGGATCAGCTCCTAAATCAGTAAGAACTGAAATTCATAGTTGAATATGAACTCCTGTCATCATTGGGAAGATGAACAATAGCATGTAGTTAGAATAAAAGTGGCTTATCTAGTCACAATTCAAGTGGTTTGCAACAAATGTGGCAGGAAATTGGCTGTATGTTAAAGTCTGAAATGTTTACATTTGCTCACGGCACCTAAATGTTAAAGTGAAGGGAAGAGGTCCTTTTATTAGCCTCAGCAAAATGTCTATGTCAACCATAAAATATTCTCTTAAAAATAATTTTTCCTAAGGTATCTTCCAAATACTGTGTATTTTTATGTGGAAAGGATATGAAAGCAACTGTTACTTCAAAATACCATTTAAAGTACTTGAGGTATGAAAGCTTAAAGATTATTTAATCATTTTGACATAACTTGAGTGTTGTAATTTTTGGTCAAGCATGTTAGATGAATAAAGTCTTAAAAAAAAGCAACACACAACAAAAAATAAGGTCTCTTAATGTGCAGCTCATGTGATCAGCTCCATGTTGGAATGACTGCCATCTTCTCCAGGGGTAGGAGCCAGGCTATGGGACATAAAAGTTGTTATGGAGGGGGCTCAGCAGAGGGTGCCCTGCTCTGTCCCCCATCTTCCAGCCTCCACATCTCCTGCAGAGGGTAACGAGCTCGAGGTTTGGGTTGCAGAGAGGGGAAAACAGCAACCACCGCCTGTAGTGGATGTATTTTGGTGGGAGAATGTGCCAGGTGGGCCTGGGAGGCAGGGAAAAGCTACCGTGGGAGTGCTGCAGCAGAGCTCTGGAGAGGTCAGGAACTGGGATGCCATCCTTTGGGAGTGGGCAGCAGTTGGGGGAAGGAAAGTTCCTGCTCTGAGTTGGGTGTCAGGACACATCTTCACAGAGAGGGAGATTAAGGCCAGCTGAGTATTTTTATTTTAATTTTGTGGGCACAGAAAGACCTGAGTTTCTGATCTACCTCAGATAAGGGAGGCCATGAAAAGAAAGATTTTCACAAATCTGGCTGTGCAGTTGTCAGCTCTATTTAAATTTGGGATGACCTCTCAAGTAATTTCCTGCCCCACCTCCCCTTTGCTGACCTTCATTGATATTTATCCAGGTAGCAGTGCTCCTGAAGGAAGGTGTGCTGATGTGTATCACTAATATGTGCATTCCCATCACCAGGCAGAATTGTTGGCTGAGATTAATTCTGGTTCATTTCAGCAATGAATAGGGGAGATATCACTGCACGTCAATGAAAAAAAAAAGATGACAAGATTATTTTTACCTCTCTCAGTCACATACGGCTGAGGATGTGAAATGTTCCTTGACTAGAAGGAAGGAGCAGGCTGGAACTCAGCACCCACCCAAGCAGCTGCTTTTGGTGCTCCAGGAAGGATCAAAAACCCTGTCTCAGGGTCATGCTGGGGACACAGCACGTGGGAACGTGCTCTGCTCTTGCTGCAGGAGGGATCCAGAGGAGATAAGAAGTGATTTGTCTTTTCCAGTCACTGACTGCTGCCTACAGTCAATGCAAATACTTCAGAGGAAGGAGGAATGAGACATCCCTTAGAAGGCAATTTTTGGAATAATCTACCCATGGGGACCTTTGCCCCCATCCCATTTATTGCTGTTTGTGTGAAAATTTCTCTCTTAAAAGCTATATTATTGCTTTCTGCTCAAGTAACTCACACAGAGCAAATATAACTGCAAATGGTCTTTCCTTTCAGGTATATTCTTGTCCCTTTCTTGCAAGTCTCTCTGCATCTGCAATTTTAGTGATATTTTGGAACAGGGAGCACCCTGGATGATTATGCAAAGTGCATTAGAACGACAGTATTTCACTAATCCTTGTACATGTGCTGCTGCTTGGGTTTATTGACTGTCCCTTTGTTCTCTTTTTATGTGCAAAGTGAAAATAGGAGTACTTATACACACCTCTTTTGTGCATTTGTTATTTTGTATATTGGCCATTATGTTGCTTTTTACTCACTTCTTCTAGAAATTAAAATAATTGCAATTCTAGCTAGACTCCATTCCTAACTTCCTTACTTTCTCATCTTGGAAATGCTCCCCTCCTCTCTTTTTGATGTGTCATTTGGGAGTTGGTGAGAGGCAGCAGTGCCAGAAGAGAACCTCCTCTTCAGTCCTATCTGACCATTTAGATACAGTTCTCTGTTACTTTCTCTCCTGAGTTTTATCCAATATCTTCTCTTTTTTTTAGGAGTTTTTGGGATAATAGCACATATTTGTAACCCACAATGGACCACTGTGGTGAGCTGCCCGTGGCCGTAGCTCGGTTTTCTCTTCAACAGGTGAGAACTGATCTGGACTTAGCACAACTGTCCCTCCTTCCTCTCAGGGAGCCTTGCCCAGGCTGTGTCTGTGGTGGGGATCTTCTTCCCCCACTCTGGCCTGTTCCCCTGGCTTTGGGGTGCCCCTGGCAATCCTCATCATCCCTGGCTGGGATAAGGAGCTGTGTGACATTTGTGTAGCCTTCATCCTGCTTTTGAGGTTTTTGTTTCTTAGCTGCTGCCTAAACCATGACCCTTCTATGCCCCCCATGAATAGCTTTTCCACAAAGGTCTTTATCAAAACCTTCACAATTGTCTACACCAATTATATCAGCAATAGCTCTTCTGGCCAGGACTTTGATGTACAAAAGCTTTCAAATAGATTAAAAGAACAGGCTTTTCTGCACAAATCAGTCAGCATTGTTTTCCCTCACCCAGTGAAGTGTATTCCCTCTCCAGAGCATCATGGACTAAAACTGAGCAGAGCAATTAACCTCACCACATGTCAGTGGGTGTGTGCACACCATGCCCTTGTGCTCTTTGCTCTCACCCAGGGCCATGTGGGCCTGGTTAGTGGACAAATGCTCCCTGCTGTGGGAGAAGAGCCCATTCTCTCCCTCAGAGCTCTGGTCTTGCCTCTGCATGGCCTTGGGGACAGGGGGACAGCCATGGGAAACCCCAATGCAGACAGGTTGCTGTTTCCAGAGCTCTCATTACATTTATCCTGTCAGCGTCTCTGTGTTCTGAATGGGATGAGCAACTTGAGCAGGGCCAGACGGGAAAATGCTGGTCGCTATAAAAACGTTGCAGTGGCTTATGGTAGAATGAAGCTTCAACATCAGAGTAAGGGAAAAGCTTTGTCCAACCACATGAGCTGCCCAACACCCAGGAAAGGCTGGGGAGAATCAAAGGTGATGTTAAAGCACCCTCCTACCAGTGAAGCCCCACGTGCCCCTTCCCCACTGCAGTTAGAGCCTGGCTGGGGGGGCTAGGGCTAGCCCAGCTCACTGACAAGTGCAAATTTGGAATACTAAAGATATCAAGATTGGTGGTACAAAACTCTCCACAGAGGCCACTGGAAGGGTGAGAAGGGGTCTCAAAGGGTGCTGAGATGCCCTCTCTCAATGAGTGCCCCCTTGTCCACACGGGAATGTCTGCATGTGTCCTGGTGGGGACACTGTCTGTGGGGATGTGGGCCGAAGCTGATGGAGGGCACTAGGGGACTCCTGTACCTCTGCAGGGCACAGAGCCAGATGGCCATGGTGTTGTGTGAACTTCAGAGAGAGGCTTGTCCCTGCAGGGTTTCTCTCTCAGCCTGGTGATGCTGCTGCTGTACTGAAACACAAGGGACAGGAAGCAGCAAGGTCAGGTCCTGCACAACCCTGCACCTTGGGCATGCAGAAGAGGCCTTTGTGCAGACAGAGATACATCCTCTGTGCCCTGTAGTAACCCACAGTGGCAAATTTCAGGGTCTCCTGGCAACTTTACCTCCCACCATGATGACCTGGGCCAAATTTTCTAGAAATAATAAAATTATGCAAGATAAAGCAGTTTAATACAGGCAATTAAACCTGTATTTCTGTTTCTTTCTACTCTTTTCTAAGGTTGTTGCATGGCATAGCCATTCTGGTTACGTCTGTTATGTGGTATTCTAAAATGCTGCTTCACTGTGTCAGCTGCTGATTATGTTGCCTTTGTCACCAGCTCCTGTGCTTCCCATGGTCACTCCTGGTGGTCCCTGACATTTCACAGCACTCACATTGGGGGTCCCTGAGAAGCATCTTGCCTTGGACAATCCCACTCTGGATATCTCTTTGGGGTTCCCCAAGGGTGAGGGTCAACCCATCCTGGCCTTGTTTTTGAGCCCACAGATAAAACTCAACACCTTCCCCAGCAGCTTTAGCTCCAAAGACCTGCAACAAGCCAGGAGTGGTGTAGGAAAAGGAGACAGGTCCTTCTGCTTGGGAGGAACCTGGAGACAACTCCCACCATCACCTCAAGCCTCTCCAGGTGAGCCAGTAGCTGCACACAGGGTAGGTTCCCACCACTGGGAAGGAAGAGCCCTGTCCTGGGGGGAATGAATACCAATACCAGACAGAGCAAAGGCAGAGCAGGACAGCAAGGCAGGGCAGGGCAAGCCTCCAGAGAAAATGGCCCAGTGGGGTCCACAGCATCAGAGTTGTTCCATCAGTTGTGAAATGACACAAACCCCTGGCACGCCAATAACCTTGTAGCCTGCCCGTGGTGCTTCCCACCCCTCATTCACACACCAGGGGATGCAGGACTTCTGCCCTTGCTTGCAGTGACATAGATCCTCTGTAGTGACACACACAGGAAAGGGAAAGCTGCCCTGGAGCCACCAAGGAGTCATGAGAAGGAACTGCTTCCAACCTCCTTCCCCATCCTCTCAGCCTGTGCTCTCTGGATGCCCATCTCTGAGCCGCAATGGTTTACCCCCATGCCTTCAAAAGCACCTTCTTTCCCCACCTGTTCCAGCAGTGTAAACACAATTATGTGTATTGCTTGCTCAGAAAGAAAGAAAAGCTCTGAAGAGTTACCTATCCTATTCGTTTCTGCAGACACCCTTAACAATAATTAATCATGTGTATTAACATGGGGTCAAGAGACTTGTCAAAACTGCAGCCCTTGAGTGGTAAACAGAGCTCATGCAATTAGCAGTCCCCACTCTGAAAATGCTAGGATTGATTCATTGTTCTTTCTAACACCTAAGAAAGTCAGGGAAGTAATAAATCATGAAAATATAGACAAGGAACTCAGCAAACTATGATGAAGACACTTCATCAGCTGCCTGCAGCTCTGCGTCAGTGTTTTTGCACTGGAGTCAACACTGAGCTGGTTGCACGGCAGCTGGAGCCACCAGGCACTCACAAACACTGCAACAAACTCCAAAATTTTGTACCCTCTTCTGCATTAACAGTAGGAGATTCCTTAACTGTTTTTAATCCAACTGCTACCAAGCTTATGCCTTCCCTCAAAATAAAGGTACAAGCTCTTTTAGTGCACAGATTTTAATCTGAATAGTAGGACTTTCTCTGCCATCCACAAGGCTGTGTGGGTGGAGGGGAAAAGAGTGCAGCTGCATTCGCTGGTCAGGCCAGGGTCCTTCCATCTCTACATGAACTCAGGATGCCACAGTGCAAGACACCTGTCTCTCCTGGATCCTGG